CAAAAGTGCACAGAGTGGAAGAGAGCGAGAGAGAGATGCATTTAATGGAACTGCTGAGAGACGGTCTCTTCTCACTGTGGCGCATCTTTGTTGCAGGAGAGACACTTTGAGGGAGACGGGAAAAAGGAACAGAGGGAGGAAAGATGGAGATAGAGGGTTGAAGTCAGGAGGGGTGGATGTCCTAAAGTTGGGTCCACTTTACAGAAGCACAAAAGAGTCGTTAGAGAGGGATAATGGATTAGAGGGAGTCATAAAGAGAGAAAGAGAGGAAAGGAGAAGGAGAAAGCAGGAAAATGATGATAACGTTGGCTTCCCAGCAGTATGGCACAGCAGAAACAGAGATAATGATTGAGGGAGAGACACATAGAGGAACCAAGAGACAGAATGAGGAGTGCAGACTGTGAACGCACTCACACTGAGAAAACTCAGCAGTGAGTACAGAGATTTGGGGAATGGAGAGAACTGGGGGATGCTGGGTTGAAATGCAAACGGAGAGAGTAGGGAAACAGATTTTTTTTTTCATACAGTACAGTATATGGTTCTCCAACAAAGCTCTCTCTCCTTCACACACATAGTCACATACAGATAGATACACAGCAGGGGTTGGTGGGAAAAGGGAGAAGCACAGAGAGGAAGAGAGAGATGTTTGGAGAAGCAGATGGAAAGATGAAAGCACTGATTGTGGACTCTGTGTGTGCTTGTGTCTGTGTGTTTGTGTGTGTGCGCGTGCATTTTTTCATACAGTGAAAACTAATTTTGTAAGAGTGTGTGCTGTATCTGTGTGATTGCATATGCTTTTCTCACAAAAACTGTTGTAATTGAGCTATAGCAGCACTCACACTGACAGGTAACACACACACACATATGTGCAAACAACACCAAAAAACAAAACCCAAAATACCAGTCTGTTTCTCCATGGTGTTTGTTCTCCCCTACTGGTTTTTAATTATGGACACCAGAAAGTGAGAGAATGGCTGACAAAGATTTGCATAAGACAAATATTCAATTTGACAACAGAGTTTTGCTTTTGACTCTTCTACTTTAGCTCAAATTCTGCGGGCAAAACTTGGGAGTCAGGACAGGACAGAGAGGAAAAGGAGAGAAGTTTGAGGCAGACACGGGGAGACAGGAAGTTTAAAAGAGGAAACGGGACGGGGAACAGAGTAACCTGTCTATCTCAGTTTCATTGCTTCTTTTTGTCAGGATGTCCAACTTGCATAACAGAGCTTCTCTCCCTGCTGCACAGGTCAGCAGATATGCGGCCATTTACCCATTTCAATACCGACAGAGTTTATAGCAAATTTGTTCGGTCTGGCCGTTTTTGCTTTCATCTCGACGAGAGAATGTAGCCTTGGATGAAAAAAGAAAAAAAAAAGTCAGTCAAAATAAAAAGTGTTGCAGTTGTTGCAGTTCTAAAACGACATATGTTGCAGACGCTTTTTGTCTGTCATTTTATTTCTTGGCTTTCTATTTTATGCTTCCTCCCTCCTTTTTATATTTGTCTTAGTCTTAGCACTTTGAGGTTTGCTATCAAAGAAAGGGATCACTTATTAATTAATTGCATCAATACTGTATTTTTTTTTTTAAATATTCAATGCAATTCTTTAGAGAGACTTAAACATGCTGAAAAACGAACACTTTAATTTGCCTTTGGATTTATTCTGTCTCTAATATCCCTAGAAAATTCTGTTTATTCTTTACAGGCTATAATTAGAACCACATTATTATCCTCAGTAATGACAAACACTTTAATTCCATGACATGTAAATGTGTCTATCTCACAAAAGCTTCTTCCCTTTTGAGCACGTATTGTTGTCTGCAGTTACGCTGAGTGAGGCAGGCCCTTCCGAATAATCTTTTGAGAATTTTGGTCTGATGTACTGCAACTTTCTTCTGACCATCCTCCCTGCATGTCATCCAAACTGCTGTAGGGTGTATTGTTTTCTATCATCCTGAGTTCTTGCATGTCACCCTCCCCCCTGCTCTATCTTCGCTGCCCGCCTGTAGTGGCTCATTTCAGATCTAAAACCAGGTGTACAAGACTGCAAACTAGTGCATATCCCCATCCCTCCAGGCCATGTTCTGTCCGAGGCCCTATATACAAGTCAGTCAATGCCCTGCACTAAGCTAATGTTGTCTGCTGGGCTGTCCTAATAATGTGACCTGGTAATCACTCATCCCAGCCTTGCCTCCCCCGTCCTCTTGGTTCTGAAAAATATTGGAATGACCTTCCCACCTCAGCCAGGGCTAACGTGCAACACAGCAGAAGCTGAAAATTAATCTCCTTAGGAACATTTCCCATCTTTTAAGTCATTTCCTCTCTTATATAACCTTTCCTCTGCGCTGACTGCTTACATACTTCATTCTTACCCTGGATATCTTTTTTTATTGTGTGTGTGACTGTGTGTGATCGCCTGCAAATTTACTAATTTTCCTGCACTTCCAACTTTTAGTCCCCCTTGAGGACTGCTAAAACACTTACATTATATTTGTGTTGGCAGCAAAGGAGACACCGTCTGCTGTCAGATGGATTCTGTAACTTATTTATTAATCTTTAATATCATAGACTAATTCACCTTATAGCTCCCTGTTGCTTTATGGCTTTTTGCTCTCTTTCTTCCCCTTCCTGCAGCATATCGTCAAACTATATCTGTGAACAACTGATCTTTTTTTTCCTGCAGAATTTTCTCTTTGATGTGCTGTTTTATTTGAGAAGATACTGTATTACTAGTGCATAATAAAACCAAATCCCATGATTTTATTTGTCCCTTTGATGTAGCAGTTAGGAAGTCTAGAACCAAGCAGCAGATTTCATATGATGCAGTCCCTCCCTTTGCGTCTTTATACACGCTTCCTTCTTCTGTCTCTTTCACTCTCATTGAGACCAATTAGAAATAGTTAATGGAGTACAGATATTTTTCCCCACTACATCTTCTGTACACACGCCAGACTGAGAGACCTCTGGGTGAGGTTGTAAACAAACAGTCACTTGGCTGCTGCCCTAGTGGCTCACATGAGCCACAGTGAAGAACAGAATTTGTAAGGCAGACTCTTAGAAAGGAAGAAGGGGAAAAGATGAAAAAATGGAAGTGTGCAGTAAAAAAAAAAAAAAAGGAGCGACCTAAAGAAAAAGTCAAAGGGAAGAAGAAAAGAAAAGAGAAAGGTTTGTAAAAATCTGTGTAATCCCTTTGCACCTCTCTGTTTCTCATCTCACCCTTGCTCCGTCTTGCAGTGAGTGACAGAGCCAAAAGCAAAATTCTGGCGTCAAGTTTGACTATTCACTCCCATCACTCATCTCCTGCTGTGGGTGTCTTTTCATCTGAATCAATTTTCCCTGGGGGTAATATTTCTAGGTGAAGCACAAAGGTCTGGGACATTATAGAGGTGCTGTGAGAAAGCTGCTGAATGAATATTCAATGTACCTGTGTGTGTGTGTGTGTGTGTGTGTGTGTGTGTGTGTGTGTGTGTGTGTGTGTGTGTGTCATGTAAAAAGTCCAGAAAAAAATCTGTAGACAGAGGAAAATATCAGGAATGGTGAAGCTTAATAGTACTTCCTGAACAATCGGTCATTTTTGATGAACTTGACTTGTTTGATGAACAACCTGACTGAGTGGTGCAAACTTCACAACCTTCATTTTCTTGGGAAGTGAAAAACATGCCACTCGTTTGACACACTCTGTCTCAGTAAGCTCTCTTATTTTCTACATACCATATCATACACAAGTGCAGGACAACCCCACTGTGGAAGAATGAGATCCTTTCTCTCTCTTCTTTTCTTTCTAACGATGCCATGACTAAAATGTTAATTACAGCTAAAAAGAGAAATGATTGTGAATATCAAACAGCAATTAGCATGTATCATCATCATCATCATTACCACCATTAGCTGCAGCACAAGATGGAGGATTATTTACCAAATGGCGAAATGCTCATCAGTTGCTTATTCAGGGCTTGAAATGTTTCACAGGCAGTGTTAAAAAAAACATTCCTCCTTAAATTTGCATAATTAATGTTGCTTAAAAAATTAACTATTGCAAGGCCCAGAGCATGACAACAAAAGAGCACTGTGCTCATTGGCAAATAGCACATATTTTGCGAGAAACCCAAGATTGAACCTGAGAATATTAAGATGCTTATCTTCAAAAGTAGCTTCTATATTCTTTATATGGATACTTTATGAAACACATGCCCTAGATGGAAAACAGACACATTCGTATGCACACACACAAATACACACTCCTAACTCTTTTGAAATTTTCTCCTTATGCTGTGCATCTGTTTCTACGCCGATGAAATTTAAATCCTTTTCCACGTGTCAATTGTCTGATCTTCACACCTGAGCACAGCCTGATGAATTCTGGAAAAATCTTCAGACCGATCACCGGGATAAGGCCATTATCTTTCCTTCAATCCATGTGGAACAAAATGTCTCCTCCTTTTTGTTCTAATTTGACTATTGTGCTATAACACGAAAAGGCAGTTCACACCTATGGTACTCAGAGGAGCTATTTTATTTTATTTTTAAATTAGATTGCTTTCACAAGCTCATTTTTTCCATCTATGCTTCCCATCCCTACCATTATTCCCCTGTTTTACCAGTGAGATAGACCCTGCAAATAAACCATGCGAAAGACCCCATCGACCACAGCGGCCCAATGCATAAAAAACATGCTTTGTTTTAAAGGTTGCATTTGTTTTAAAGGTTGTAGATTATTAAGAGATAGGTTTTTGGGAATGTATTCTTGCAGACAGGGTTTGCCACCCTGTCAAAATAAATAAAACGGAAACTTGAACTTTCCAACATTTGGTTAACATTGTGAAAAGGTCTAATGAACTCAAACCATGACCTAATCAGATCTCATCAGTCTTGGTGCATAAACATAACTTAAGCAACAAGTGAAAACAAAATGACTAATGAATATGACTAATAGATAAATAAATAAACCATTATTCTGCTGCTGCTGAACTTGTGTTTCACCCCCTCTATCCTGCTTTCTTACCTTGTTGTACAAACGAGCCGTACACGAACCACATGGAGTTGTACAGCGTTGTTGAAGACACAGATCCCATGGGGAGCCGAGGTGGGTTGAGCCAGTTGAGCAAGTACACCAGGATGCCAACGAGGAGCACGGTGCCTGCGATGCACGCCCACAGTGACAGGTCGAAGGGTGCCAGGCAGGCAAACATGTCCACTGTGCGCTCAGCCTTGCGCAGCAGAACGCCCACAGAATAATCCATGTAGCGTGTGGTGAAGTCCACAACGCTCTCTCGCTCAGGCGTGATGGTCAAGGCAGAAAGTCCCACATCAGCTCGCTGCAAGAGGCAAAGAAGTTTGAAGTATTAAAACTGTGAAAATGTGTCAGTGAGGAAGTCAGCTGAAAAATGTGGATTCTTATAACAGCCTTAAAGTCCATCTGCGCCTTCTCATCACCTAAAATAAAGAATCGAAGGACAGCGTGCAAAAAATGTAACAGTTATCTGGAAATATCTGGCATAGAGGAAGAAAACACATGTCACAGTGATGGTAACTAGTAGTTACAATTACAGTACTTTTAAAAATGTCATAATGAACCTTGTAACACCCTACTAAATTTAGATATATCTGACAGATATCAGCAAGAGATTTAAATCCATACAGGCCCTGGCTCAATTTGCACTTTGTGGAGCAGGGAAATTATTTTACTGCTATTGTTAAATAATTATCAACAGTACCATTGCATTAAGAATATAATCTGCAGCATGGATATTGCATTCAGAGGTTTAAACAGTGTCTCTTTCAGAAAGACTGAGTTGCAGGCTGACAGGAAGTTGTATGCAGAAGTGAAAGCAGATAGTTATTTTGAGGAGCAGGCCAGACGAGGCCATTTGAATTACTAGGTTATTCAAAATGATCATTGCTGTAACAGAGTAACAGATAGCTTTAAGAAGGCCTTAAGATGCTTATGCACACAGTTATTATGTTTAGTAGAGGTTCTTGGTTAAAACATTTATTTAGTAGAAGACATACATATAGTCTCAGTGAGCCTCTGGTCTGGTAAAAGGTCAGAAGTGCAACAGGTGAATTGAGAAAGAGCATGTGGGGTCAACACACACACACATGAGTTAGATTTATTTAGAGGAGAAATTAGTCATGTCTCGGCAAGAAAGAGGAACAATTCACTTTAAGACAAGAACGGAAAGTACCAGCCATGAAAATAGAAGATGATCTTCTGGGTTAAAAGTCATTGTGGTGTTGATCTGATCTATGTATAAAATGTATCTGTGACGCATGAAGGGGCGTCAGTAAATCAAACCCTGATGCTATAAAATATCTGTTTATGCTTTGATTAAGTCGGAGATCACTTGCTGTCGGCGTACAGAGTGTTCTTCCCACACGTGTGTAGTCATTAAAATCATTGTTTGACCAAGACCTTCTGGACCATGGGTGGTTTGTACTCTCCCTCCTCAATTTTGAACCTTAACAACTTGTATTCTAATATGTGGCGTTTGAATCATTTACAAATGAATTAATTAATCTGTTTTCTGTCAGTATGCTTTCTGAAGCACTTAAAACCTTTCTCTTCACTTGTAAGGCTTGTTAAGAGACAACAAATGACTGCCTTAAATATGTGCAAAGATTTTAAGTTGAAAAAACAGCCGTCACTGAGTGCGTCTGCCAAGGAAAACAGGCTGAGCTTAGCTTTAATGCAGAAACAATGATGGATAATTAAAATGTTTTCAGTCCCCAGTGCTTGACTAGCAACTGCAGACATCTGCTTATACTATAATAGGGATTTAAGATGCTGCTGTGAGCGCATGCTGGTGTTTGAAATCTATACTACAGTGAGAGAGGGCACATATTATGAACTTGTTCGATAATGAGATTTTCTTTGTTGCCATAAACAACTGACTCTAGCAAGTTAGGTGAATTTGTAGGCAAACGCTGAGCCCTACAGGTACCGTACACACAGATTATGTACTTATATAGACACAGACCACATCCACATTTACATACACACACAAAAGCAAACAAAAAACTTAATTCCCACCCTCCATCCAAATTTTACAGCTCAGTGAAAAAACAAAAATGCTTAAATGTGGAGAAATTGTCACTTACACTGCGTAAGGCGAAAATTTCAGAATTCCTGTAAGATGGCTGTGGGTTGGGACAACAGTGATATGCATACAACAGTGTGTGTGTGTGTGTGTGTGTGTATAGGATGAGATGAATTGCCATGCTGACACATGTGGTCAGTCAATATGAAAACTTACAGGAAGCACTCTGGGTAATAATTATCTGGTATAATTTGGTTTTGGAGAGATAAACCTTGTAGCTGACTGATGGGGAAAACAATTATTTGCATGTTCAGTTTATTTGCAACTTGTGCTCATCTGTGTACACATATGCATTGTGCTTGAAGCATTTCTCGGTAATTTTGTGAGCCACTGGGGGAGAGGGGCCTAGAAATGTTAAATACAAACTGCAAGTATTCAAGGTCAAGGAAAGGAGAGCCAAGTCTTACAAAATCACTCAAGCCTGACACACAGCCGAAGGAAAATAATGAAGTGATGGAATCAGAAATTTCTGAGAAAACACTGCTCAACTGAAGAAAACAAAAGACAACAATCAAAGAAAAATATATACTTGACCTAGGGTGAACAAAATGTGCATCAGGTTAATATGATTTCATCAAAGGACATCAGCAGGTATTGTGCAGATGCAGATATAAATATGAACTTGCACAAACACTTCCACGTAGTCATAAAAAGGTTGTTAAAATTAAATTAGATCTAACTGTATAAAAATGGTGCGTGTTTGGGCTGGAAATTGAAAAAAAAGTTTTTCCTGCCATTAAGAGATGATCATGGCAGAAAAACACTGTACTATTGATTTGAAAGGATCTGGTAAGATGCACACCTGTAAACCACGTTTTTTAAAATCAAACAGTTCAAGATGCGATCAAAGTGCAGCAAAACTGAAAAGCAAGCTTTGTTAGTCGAAATCAGGTAACTGACCTTGGCTATTGAAGAATATCTCATTGCTTTGCCTCGAGAGGCTCATGGGCTGCTTTTGCAATGTGCTTTGGGTCATTATCTATTTGCACTGTGAAGTGCTGTTTGATCAGTTTTGCATCATTTGGCTGAATCTGAGCAGAGACTACAGCCTTGTACACTTTACAATTCATCCTGCTACTCCTCTCTGCAGTCACATAAAAAACCCCTCTTGTTTCATTGGCTGCTATATATACATGTGGTAAGCTTTGAATCCTGAGCTGTTTATCTCGTTTCCACAGCTTTGTCTTCCATCAGTGTGCTTTAAGTTAATATTGGTTTCATGGACCCACAGAATTTTTTTACAGAGCTGTGCAGGTCTTTTTTAGATGTTTTGTGGCAAAGTTTAATCTACCCTTTCTCTTCTTGAGCGTAACCAGTGGTTTACACCTTCTTGTATTTTCATTCATGAAGGGATCTCTTGATTGTAGTCTTTGGCAATGATACGCCTACCTCCTCAAGAGTGTTCATGAATTAGAAAGACTGTGTGAAGGTGGTTTTTCATGACCAGAGAAAGACTTCTGTATTCATTCACTTCAGTTGTCATAAATGATCTTCCAGGCCTTTTGGTGTTGTAAGTGCCTTCCTTTTAAGAATGTACCAGAGATTGCCGATTTGGCTACTCGAAGTTGTCTTATTTTGTTTTTATACTCTAATGATGGACACCTTGCCTTGCTTCAATATCTCTTTGGACCTCTTGCTGAGAGTTCCAGTGAACAGCTGCCAAATGCAACTTCCACACTTTGCAACAACTGATCTTTTTTCAGCTCATTGTCATGGAATAATGAAAGAACAAAGTGGTTGTAATTCCCAAACGTCTAACTTTGTCAAACCCCTCGATTTATAGATAAAAGCTCCCAATTAAATCACATCTTGGTTGCTTTGTTTAAAATCTAATACGGTGGTGGACAGAGGCAAAATTACAAAAACTGCATTAATAACCAAATATTTTTGGACCTAACTCCACTCTTTCCTCCCCTTTTCCACCTTAGTGTGTGAAGTTCAAAAGAATTGTTCACTTGTGAGTAGGGATGGGTATCGAAAACCGGTTCTTGTTGAGAATCAGTTCCCACTGTTTCAATTCCTTGGAATTGTTTGCCATTTTTGCAAACGATTCCCTTATCGATTCCAGTCGCCCCGAATGACGTCACCGCGTTGCGGAGCGTCACTTACCTGGCAGGAAACACGGCGCGTAAGCGGCTCAAACGCTCAAAAGTTTACGAGAACGGATGACAACAGGGCAACTTGCAATACTTGCAAAGTAGATACTTAATTTAAGGGAGGAAACACTACGAATATGCAAAAGCATTTGCTCACAAAACACGTGATAACCTTAAATGAATGTCATGTTTTTAATTCTGCTCCGGACTCGTGAATCTCAACCCAGCAGCAGCGGTAACGTTTGCACGTCCTCTCCCGTTAATGCGGCAGGTAAATAATCAACTAACAGTGCATATTATGTTAGCGCAATCTGCCTTATTACAAAACCTGCTATTACTGTGCATTTAGGTGACCATGATGAGACGGACAGACAGAGTCTGGCTGGCTCAGATGCTGGCAGTTCTCGCTGCAGTCTACCGGTAGCGTCTCCTTTCAGGCCAGGATAGACGAATGTCACCGAGCAGTGACTAAGTTTGTGGTAAAAGGCTTGAACCAGTGTTGCCAACTCCTCAGTAAGGAAAATCGCTATTGGTTGTCCTAAAAGTTGCTAGAAGTCGCTAAATGACGTCATCGCCTAATTTGCATAATTGGTCATGCTAATCTAATTGTAACCTATGTTGTTGGAGAGAGAAATAACATCGTGGAAGAGACATAAAGTGCGTAAAAAACGTCCTAAATGCATTTAGAGTTTATTTAGAACTACAAATTAAATTTATTTTAGCAATTATTGTTTTTTTAAATGTCACAATTCCAACCCTGCAGCTTTACCCGGGCTTGGACCGGCAAAAGTGACCTGAAATAGGCACTCTGGTGGAGTTACTTTGTGTGTGTGTTTATAAGTAGTTTTAAACCTTGTGATCCACAAAACAGCATAAGAGTAAAACAGTAAAAGAAGAACTGACTGCGTTACAGCACCCACTGCTTGTTGAGAGTAAAACCGATACGCGTTTTCACGTCCTTTTTTTAGCGACTTTTTTTCTAAAAAAAAGTCGCTAAGGGGTCTGAAAACTCGCTAAATATAGCGACAAAGTCGCTAAGTTGGAAACACTGGCTTGAACCCATTTGCCACAGCAGATGCCCCCAATTTTAGGTAAGTGAATGTGTTTAATTGTAGGCAGGGTCATTACTGGATATTCTTGTGTAATTGCTACTGAATAATTTATGTTATGCTTTGTTATTGCTACAGAAGAATATTTATTTTATTATTTTACATTTACAATTTTTTTTCCTCGGGACCCTGTGACACCCCATTGAAGAGCCGTAGGCTGGATCTCTTAAGATCTCACTGTTGGGTTTGTAAGGCCATGTTACTCCTAAATTTCTATCTTGTTCAAAGAGAAGATATAAAACAAAGTTCTAAGCTAATCAAACTTAGTGTTCTCCTTTTTTAAAAAGAATCGATAAGAGAATCGATAAAGAATCGAATCGTTAAACAGAATCGAAAATGGAATCGGAATCGTGAAAATCTTATCAATACCCATCCCTACTTGTGAGTGCAGTCACGAAAGAATAAACAGGAAAAAACAGGTAAACTCACCTTAAATGTTGAGTTTAAAACCTAAAATATTTATTTAGTCCTACCTTTGCTCAGACCTCATATTTAATAGGAAAAAAATAGTAATAAAAAAAAGTTTTAGCAAAACATAAATTATTTTAAGCATAAAAGAATGACTTGATTGCAAGAAACTAAGGTAAGCTCAGGGTTTATTATTGGCTTCCACATAACAACAGTCAATGAATATTTTAAGCAATCAAAGCCACAGAGGAACAGAAAGTGCCTGTCAAATCATGAGTTATTTTCACAAGGTTCACAAGAAACACTTTCCTGTGTTGCCTTGTCTTTTAAGATGGACTCCAAGCAAAGCAACAGCAATCTTGCATGTGCTAGGAGTTTTTCAGAATTGAAATATTTATGATTATTAGTATCATCACATTTCAGTGATATTAAAAACAGAAATTCATATGTGACTACTCTAGACTTCCTGCATGTAAAAGTTCAGCTTGGTTTTATTGTGTGACTTTGTTTAATCAGCAAAAGACGGTGTGAGTATGATATGAAATATATGTATGATGTGACAAATAGTTATCAAACTCAAGCATTTACAACTAGCGCAAGATAAGCTGCCAGGTCTCCATTTATGTTTCTCTAGGATATGCTGCAAGGAACAAAACTAAAAAAACTGCTCTCACACATATAATAAGGGCACTTTGAGATATAACAGAATATTAAACAGCAATGAAACTGGTAAATTTTGAAGTATGTCAACTGAAGTCTATGTCAGTAGGGCTAAGTCATGGTCAAAGTAGTTATTTTTCAAATATGCCAATTTACTACCCTCAATCTAGAGGCCTCTCCATCTTTGGTGAACCCACATTTATAGTGTCACTATATCATCTCCACTTTTCCACTTTCCACTGAAGCAGTTCAAGTGTCTGCCAGCAGTTATAACACTTGAAGATACTTGAAGCTAGTCAAATTATTATAAAGTTGTTGTGTTTCTCTAGTATGCAAAATCACACAATATTTCATCTCTGCGCCTCCCAAATCCACTTCAGCTTACATAGTACAATTCTTTATGAATGAGTGTCTAAATGTCTCATTCCAAATTAAAGAAGTTTAAAGACATAAATCCAATGGTTACCAAGTGGGTGATGATGGAACCCATCCGAGTGTGAACTAAACCTAAGAGAGGCTGTTCTGTTCAGCAATTGATTCGTGTCTACATGCAAGCTTCTCCTCCTTCTGCAGTGATATAGTATAAGCGTGTGCATAAACAGGGAACATGTATTTGTATATGTATTTGTTTGCTCATGTGCATTTGTGTATGCAAGTGATCTTCTTACCTTGAAGACTAATTCGCCCATCAGTCCATTCCATTGACCATCAGGCTGCAAGCTGCCATATTTGTGGTCTGGAGCAACATAGATCTCATACTTAAAGCCCAGGTAGTTTGACAGAGCATCCAGGACATCGATGGAAAAGCCCTGGTACTTCTTTGGTTTCCCAAGAACATTCTCTGACACCATTACAAACGGCTCCTCCTAGAAGGCAACGAACAGTCAGCGTGTCAGTAAGTCAGTCAAGCAGCCAATCAATGCACCATTCATTCAAGCATCAAGTCCCCCATTACCCTAATAACCATGTTAGCAGCACAAAAGATCATTTTGATGGCTGCAAGCATATCTGAGAGAATCTACATTTTACATTTAAAGATAATGATACAAGCAATGCCTGAAAAGGTAAAACTATATGTTACAGGTAGGCTCTTCTCTGGGGTTTATTTTCTACTACCTACTAGAGATATTAATGCTGCAAATGTGAAAATAATCCTATGTGTTATTCTAGAAGAAATCAAAGTATGAAAGCAAGCAGACATCTTTCAGCATATGTTCATTATTTAAATTATATGCTGAAGCACCTTTTGAGTGAATGTATGTTGACTGTAACAAGTGAAAATCATGATTAACCCCATTATTTGAAGTTCTCATCTCGGCATACTTGTATTCATTTATGGAACCAATTTATTAATTTACTGAAATGGTACCCTGTCTGACAACTTAAAGTGAATTAAAATGTTGAAGATCAATAACTGCACCCTAAATTCCAGCAGTTTTGTTTTTAACGGTTCATTCTTAAATACCATTGGGAAGCCTAAATCTCTTGTATATTGATTTCTGGCACTTGGCTCTCTGTTGAGGTTAAATGACATCCAAAAGCGTTGTCATTTTAGGCAATTAAGTGAACAAAGCACAAGGGAAAACAAGGTTTTTTTTTTAAATTTTCAAGGAAACTTTGCTTATACAAAAAATAGAAAGCAACATGAGACTTATTTTCATTTCCTACACCTTGGATTATGTGTTTTCCTTCTAGCCGTTTACCACACAATTCTTGTTTAATAAATCCTTACTGATGAGTGAAACATTGCAGACCAATGTGTCTTATTTTATGAGACTGTTTGTGTTATTGACAGGATATTGGGTGCACATTAAGCACAGACATTCAAACAGAAACATATACACACAGGGCATTTTACACATTAACTTGGCATTTTCAAATCCTTGCTAGCAGCTGCAGTTCAATAAACTATTAGACAGTGAGTGGACATGCATACCAAGTCCCTCTCTTACAACAACAACAACAACAATCTTTATTTATAGAGCACATTAAAAGCCAGGGGCATGCCAAAGTGCTTTACATGAAACAATAAAACAATAAAATGATTTACACTAAAACATCAGAATCATATAGGTATGGGATTATGTTCACAGGTAAAAACCACTAATAGGAACAGTCAATAGCACACAGCTGTAGCAAAGAAGAACTGTACCATCATACACAGTGATAGAGGACATAGGCAACGCAACAATAAAATAATAAAATAATTAAGACTATAACGTCAGAGTCATATAAGTGTGAGATTATGTTCACAGGTAAAAACCACTAATAAGAATAAACTATAGCACACAGCTAAAGCAGAGTAAAGCTGTAAAGCTGAACCATCAAACACAGTGATGGAAAACATTGACAGCACAGGACAACGCAAAACAACCAGACACATTAGAACATTAGGACAACTCACTAGAAGCAAGGCGAGAATTTAACTGGTAGAAAAAGCAATTTCAAACAGATATGTTTTAAGCCGTGATTTAAAAGATTGAATAGAATCAGACGCCCGGATGCCAATCGGGAGACTGTTCCACAGCTCAGGTGCAGCTAGAGCGAACGCTCGATCACCTCTAGACTTCAAGCGAGATCTGGGCTGAACCAACAATGACTGTGAGGAAGATCTCTTACCACAAGCATCCATCAATTCAGGTGGGAACACCCACTAATAAAAACAGCCATACATACTGATTTTCCCCTCAACTGACACTGATTGCTTCCTTATTTGGGGGGTTCTGTAAACCTTTATAAACAAATAGACATGGTGGAGAAAAGCTGGTTGGCATTGTTCTGCAGGACAATCAAGGCAAAGTAATAGTACAAATTTCCTGATCTACAGTTAATTACACTATATAACTTTTAAACTACATTATGTGTGAAAGACAGAGTAGGTGTGGAAAACACATAACACCAGCAGTTAACGTTTTTTAAGCTTAACTTTTTTTTCCATAGCATTAATGTATTAAAGTACATTAAAGTATCAAAGAGTTATCACAAATGGCATGCATATTAACGTTAGCCATTTCACTATAAGCACTTGATTAATTGGCCAACAACAGGTGTGAGGACCTCTATAAAGCAGAAGTTTTGCAGATCTGTGTTAACAAAATAGCAAAGAAGAAAGGCATCAGCAATAGTTTTAGAGAAGTAATTCTTGCTGCCCATCAATCTGGGAAAGGTTATATGATCCAAACAATTTCACATCTATTATTCTATAGTAAGAAGAATTATTCACAAGTGGAAAACTTTCAAGACAGATGCTAATCTTCCAATGAGTAGATATGGAGTGGAGCCTAAGGTCGGACTATGCGATGCTACTAGTAATGCAGTTAACGTGTTACAAACGTAAGGTCATAGAAAAAGAAAAATACTGAATAAGTATGGCTTGTTTGGAAAGGGCTGCAATGGCAGCACAGGTTTGGTTTACAGAGATACATTCAAACCACAAAACTTCGGGAATATTGTTCATTACACAGATGAGACCAAAGTGCAGATGTTTGGGCATTTGGTGAAAACCAAACACGACATATCAGCACAAACAGCTCATAACACCTGTCAAGCACAGAGGCGAAGGGGGGAAGATTTGGGCTTCTTCTACAGTGATCATAATCAAAGTATTCTAGAACCAAATATGAGGCCATGTTGGAAAAAAATCAAAATATTGCAATCACCCAAAGTCTACACTTCAACCCAATTGAAATGCTGTGGCACAACCTCAAGAGTGCTGTGCATAAATGAATGCCTGCAAACCTCAAGGATCTAAAGAAGGTGTCCACCAGAAATCCTCCACAATAATGTGAAGAAAAAGCTATTGAATCATGAGGTGTACTTGTGAAAGTGTGTACTTTCTTTTAGTCATGACTGTGTTTTATCTTATCTTATCTCATCTTATCTTAGCTCTGAGAGAATTAATACACTTGTGGGTATGCAACTGATATTTTTTTTCACTTGCAAAATAATGAGACTATCTAAAAGTCAACAAAGAGTCATGTAACCATCTGAACATTGCGCTGTTTAGTCTGATTTTAAACTGTTGGGCTAAATCACTTCTCAGTAAATGGTTTACAGACTGAAATCTTGCAAGAAAATTATCCTTTGAGATGTAGTATTACTGTGATGTTAATCTGTATTTCTCGAGTTGCTTTTCTTTCTCTGCTTTTTTCCTTACAGCCCCTTTGTTTCTCTTGCCACTTACCAGCTGACATATAACACTTTGCATCTTTCCAGGGTGCAATGTCTGTAGATTCTAGTTTTCCCTGAACATATGTCTAGAATACCTCATCTTCCCACATCCATCAAGCTACAATACTCCCACTTGTCACCATGCAGTATATAATCTCACGTCCCTTGAAGTTACTGTTCCCATGTCTCATTTCCATCATTTCCCCTAACTTTCCTCAAGACTAATTCCTGTAACTGGAAATGTTCCTCTTATTCTTTTTGGAAAAAAAATACCAGAAACAGGAATTGCTCCCTCCACAAAAACTAAGTAATACCACTTGAAGTTCCCTCTAGGGAATGCTAGTTTTGACAGAGTCATGTGGTAAGTTGTGCCACTGTGATCATTTCCAAAACACTCTGAGAAATCTATGTGTACCGTAAAAGTAAAATCTATTTTGAAAGGCCCAGACAGCGCCTGCAGTAGATTAGATTTTATATTGTGTGATAATGATTTTTCTCTCAGTTTCAGTTTGGTAAAGAAAGACGATATAAAGTTCAGAACAACAGAAAAGCAATTCAAATTGAGACGCAAAGAAAAATGTACACTAAATTCATATTTAGTGTACAAGACAGTGGACAAGTTTTTTTTCTTTAGAGAGCTCTTTTTTTATATAGGAATTTTAATAATTATGTTTTCATTAGTGTATAGACAATCATCTGTATCGATAGAGCACTGTCACATTCTCCATGGTCGACCATATTTATTCTCCAAGAACAGAAAAACCAAACAGGCTCTATCAGCAGGCTTTTACATTTTGAGTTTGCATTCACTTAAGGCTCTTCTAAGCACTCGGAAAAAGATGGGTAAGCAGTTGGTTGCAATCTCCAACCTCATCATTAGACTGAATCCGACAGATGGTCCCTTTAAAATACATTTTATTGTTAGATGGACTATCAAATGAAAGTAAAGGAACAACTGTCAAATTGTAAACATCATTTAATTTGATTGCTAATTCATCAATCTTCAGTGATCGCTATCATTAGCCACCTTGCAAAACAAATGTGGCATTAATTACACTTGTGGTTACTGTGTGTCTTATCTTCCCTCAAAGTAAAACTTTACTTTTTATTCAGAGAGAACATTGTGAGCTCTCTTCATTATCTCCAAAAATATGAACTCAAGTTAAAAAGGGACATATTTTGCCTTTGGCTCCATATTTGGGCTACTGTAGCTAAATCCACAGCTTGCTACTTAAATCAGAGAAATGTGCACCCTCGCATAAAAAAGGACAAGACCACTACATATGATGAAAAGAAGAAAGCCATGCTGATATTAAACAATTTAATTTAGAAACATATATAAGACAGTAATTTTAGATTGTTAGGCCAGCTAACTATATAGTCTTACATATAGTATAAAGAAAACCACATTTTGATAACTGCTTAAAGCGCTTAAACTATATTTTTTAGTTTTAAAACATCGTTTTTGGCTAATTGTGTCACTTGTGCCCAAAAGTTTTTCTACTCCTGACTCTATATTATAAAGCAGGATTTATTCTTATCCAGCTAACTTCACTGTTAACCCGAGTTTTCAGTACCCTGAAATTGGGTCACTTCTTACTTCTAACATATGTTGCAAAACTAACGTGCTGTAGAGCAGGTTATGAAATCCTACTGACCAAATAGCATCACCGTTCCTGCAAGATCCTTCTGTGCATGGATAGCAGGAGGTACAAGTGTCTGAAGTTTTCTAATAATGTCTAATGTCTTTGTGTTTCCCCAGTGAGCATCAGTGTTAAATGCAGATTGAAATATGCCAGACTTTAATATACTATATAGTATTTAATATAGTAGCTCTTCTCCAGTCTTACTGAACAAAACCCATGCAGTACATTTAATACTAAACTACTGTACATGGCTTTTCCTCCCATCCGTAAGTGCCTGCACACTTATGGGTCATAACCGCAACAATTTACACATGGAAAGATCTGGGAATGCACATGGACATTTCACACCCTTTCTAGGCTTTTCTGCTAGTAGGCCGACAAGGGGGATGAGGCATTTTGGGTAAAACATAAACATTTTTACACAGGCAGAGCTACAGAACAGGAAGAGCAACACAAACTTAAAAGTGTGCAAACAATACACCTTCTCACATTACTAGAGATACTCCTTCCCAAAAATGAGAAGAGGGACAATATTCACAGCCCATATCCTTTTTGCCTTTAAGGATGATGAAAATCAAAGACTGAAAAAAATGTATGAAAAGATCAGTAAAAAGGGATAGCCACAAAGATGTCTAGCATTATCGCTTTTTTCCCTCTGTTTCTCACTTCAAAGGGGGGATATGAAGAATTTATAGCTGTGAATCTTTAAAGCACTCAAGGGATATACTCAAATCGATGCTGCGGGCGAGGCAGATAGAGCTGGAAAGCCAGAGTCCCACCACCATCAAGACTCCATCACATAGTTGTCAAATGTCAAAATGAAGGCTAATGAAATTATGATAGCTTGGTCCATTAGTGAGCTCACCGTGGTAGGTATTCTTCGGCTTTTATGATCCCCATCTTTACTCCTAACACTGTCTGATAAACTGTTTTTTTTTCATGCCCTCACATAAGCTCTTAAGCTGTCCCTAGATCCATTCCCATATATATAAAGTGGAATGATTGGCACAAAAATAGACAAAAGGACAGATTTATAAAAGAGCAAAAGTTTGAAATGCCAAATTAATACAGTCTCTCCTGATTCTTCAAGATGAACAAAATAGAAAAGTTGTATAAAGACTGAAATCGGTCTTCTTTGTCTTTGGACAATTGGAAATCTTGTCATAATCGAAGAACAGACACACGCACAGATTAACAAACTGACCAGTTAAACTCACCAGAACAGTGACAACTCGTAGCACAACTCCCCTCATGTTGTTTTCCAATTTTCTGTCTGTCAGAGTGCCATTCAATCCATGAACTGGGTCCCATGTGGCTAGCTGTAATGTACACAAACAAAAACACACAGAAACACACCAAACAGTTAGTTACACAGAAATCTGAAACATAAGACTGGTTAATTCCTCAGTAAGAACAAAAACTTAGCGATTCATCAATCACATGCTTGGATTTATCCAAACACTGCAATGTAAGTATCACTGATATCATTGAAATCCAAAAAGGCTGGTTGTTTAACAGAGCCACATCAGAATGGAGCTAGATTTCAGTGTTTTTTCACATTCTTTTAAATATTCAAAATAAACTGTAAGCTTGCAGTGTTTTAACCACCTTTATTTAACAGTGTGTTAAGTTATTGTTTTGAACAAAATGATCATTATCTCTGGTGCACTACGGTAGTTCCAGCACTTTGGTAGCTTATTTCCAGCCCAGATGGACTCACACGCAATGCCAGAATACACAGTTGTAATGGTGACACACTTCATCAAACATAAAAGAGAACAAACTTCTTTCATTATATATATATATATATATATATATATATATATATATATATATATATATATATATATATATATATATATATATATATATATATATGTCAAGCTGTAAAAATGTAATTGGCCACACAAAGGTTTCCTTTCTTAAACGCAGCTCAATTTCTTGAAAGTTCACCCGAAAGAAAAGTACAATTCACAAAATAGTGTGTCCCTTAAATACTTGTGTAATGAGCAATAAAACAAGAAAATAGTCTTCTAGTCTCACCTTAAAAGTAAACAGGCTTTTTGTCTTTACGGAGACCAACCATAAAAACGAAAAGCCTGTTCATCTACCTGATTTTTGTCAACACATGGAGGTGCTTAAGAGTTCGACAAGTTCAGCTTCACCTAAGTTTTCCTACGTTTATTTTTTATTTCCACAAAATTTTATTTTTTTCATTTTGTTCCAGACATTTACTGAACATCTTTTTTTGTACACTGGGTGCAGTTAGTACTGAGCATCATGAATATTGCACTCTAATCTATTTCTGGAAATTAAAAAGAGTCAATTAAGCAAAATAAGGATTTCGACTAACTAATCTATGGGTGACCAACCAGAATGTCCCAATTAAAAAACCTTCTTGTAAACCACCAATCAGGCATATTCACATTTCAGCTACACATTTGGCTCATCTAACTTTTATGTCTTATGTTTTGACGGTTCCCATTCCATATTCCTGCTAATCGCCAAAAAACCCTTGATCAAATTTCTCTAGAATGTATAGTTTACAATCTGCAGTTCACCCCCAAGTGCATGATGCATAATGTGAAAAATGACAAACACAAGGCTTATATGATTGCTTCAGCATGATATCCCATATCATTACAAAATCTGACTTAACTGAGCACTGAATTAATTACCTTCTGAATTACCTAGGACCCCAACATAATCATAAACAGCACATAATATACTGCTTTAACTCCCAGTATACAAGATTTCATCTATTTCCTTCTGACCCAGACTTCTATCAAATTGCATCATAAACACCCAGTGTTTTTTTTTTCTCTTCCTCTGGACCAAATTATTAAATCTGCCTGATGTTTTCAATAAAATATTGTTTTTGGCTTCAAAGATCAGACTAGTCTGTTTTCCCTGTGGAGATAGAGGCAGTAGGAAAAAAAACAGGGGGAAAAAACTGTTTTTTGTGTATCACAAGCACACTATGATACACACAAAACTGCATGCGATGATTTGTATTTAAAAGAAAACACAAACACATCAGAGAAGCAGAGGACACAGTGCAGAGGGAAATACGGGATTATCCATTTTTCTAAAGCCAGAAGTTACTGTTGGATATACAGTTTTCTGCCAATTCTGATCAATTCCCTTTTGGGACCAGTACTTATGGTAAAGCTTCTCTAAAATTGTGGCTTTTTCCATGCCCTGCTACATCCTGTTTGAAGTTTTTTTTTTTTTTTCAAAATCAAAGCCAACAGTTTAAATCACTCCTCGTGTAATGATTTTTGTAGACACGGATCATGTGTGTGAGTTAATTCTAGATTTGCCATTAGAAGCCGGTGCTGTATTATAACTACTTTTTGACTTATTCTTGTGGTGTTTCTCCCATGACTTTTTTTTTTTTGCCCTCTTAGTTCCTGTCTGTCTGTGGTTGTGTCTTTCTTCACCTCTGGTAAAAGTGCGAAAAGTTATACCCACTCTACCACCAACTAAGTCATTATGTTTGTTTTCCCTTTATATTGTTGCTGCGTTATATCAAAGATTCAGATGAACCACCATGCATGGAGTGTTTCACACCAAATCCAGCAGCCTGAGAAAAGAAGAAGGCCAGGGACTAGTGAGTGTCAGAACCACTGTCCAGGATGAGACAACAAACATCAGTGAGTACATCAGAAAGATGGCCACAACCGACCGCATGTTTAGTGAATAGCTCAGACAGCAGAAACACAAGAAAGAAGAGGAGCAAGGCCCCTGCACGGTGTGTATCATTGGCAGATAGAGGAAGTGGCTAACATCCAGAAGTCCGACCAGTGGCTGGACAAAGCTGGACTGAAAGACAGCACAGAGGCACTAATCATGGCAGCGCAGGAACAAGCTCTGAGCACAAGATCCATAGAGGCTGGGGTCTATCACATCAGGCAAGACCACTGGTGCAGGGGCTGTGTAAAGACGCCCCGAGACAATCCAGCATATAAGAAAAGGGTGCAAGATGCTAGCAGGCAGGGCATACATGGAACGCCATAACCAAGTGCTCGTATTGTATACAGGAACATCTGTGCCAAGCATAGCCTGGAAGATCCGATGTCAAAATAGGAGATGCGTCCTAGGGTGGTAGAGAATGACCGAGCTAAGATCCTGTGGGACTTCCAGATGCAGACAGACAAACTGATGATGGCTAATCAACCGATAGTAATGGTGGTGGACAAGCAGAGGAAGACGGCTGTAGTGATAGATGTAGCGATACCGAATGACAGCAACATCAGGATGAAGGAACACGAGAAGCTGTAAAAGTGCTAGAAGCTCAGAAAAGAACTGGAGACGATGTGGAGGGTGAAGGTAACAGTGGTCCCAGTGGTAATCGGAGCACTCGGTGCAGTGACCCCCCAAGCTGTGCGAGTGGCTCCAGTAGATCCCAGGGACAACATCTGAGATCTCTGTCCAGAAGAGCGCAGTCCTAGGTACAGCTAAGGTACCCTCATATAACGTGGCATTAGTCTATTTTCTACATCCTTGATGTTTCTTTGTTGTCATTACTTATGCAACCTTTTATGAGTACTTTTGTGTTTTCTTTTCTTTTCTTTTTGTGTGTGTGCTGTTTCTTTCTGTAGCCTTCCTGCCTACCTGTTTGGGTCTTTCCTCATGAGTGAACCATGACAGACAGCACTGTTGATCAATGGGGAGAGAGTAACTATCACTGGGGATTTCATCCATTACACATTTAAATGTGTTAATACTGCACGTCCACAGGTACTTTTTACATTTTTAAATTCTTATTTGATATCTCAAGCATGCGTGGGTGTACTTCACTGGCATCTTCCCAACATCACTGAAGCACCTTTTTCAACATCTTTAAGCATTCTTGCTGTTAAACTAAGCTGATGTGTGCTTGAACTGCCAATACCAAAGTAGACATGCAGGGCTTTTATAAATGCACGCTGTGAGCAAGGTTTTGCCCTTTAAAAGAGCCTTTATTATTTTTATTTGCAACGTGCCCTCTTTGTTGCTCCTTGTAGTGGAAAATATTACAACCTTTATCATTCCTATTAGAACAGAGAGTCCAGTGACCTTAGATAATTCACACAAGAGCCTCATCAACCTTCACTGTGAGTTGGATATATGAGGGTGTGTAGGATGTACAACTGTCTTATTGTTATGTGTTAAAGCAACCATACAACATTGTTGCCGTTCCAGCACTTAAATCAACAATACAGTGCTCATCTTTGCTCATCTTTCTGCATTTACCCAAATCACACAGACAAACCCAAGTAAATCAAATTCCATGCTATCCATGTTTTTGCCTGGAGAGGGAGATGTGGAGCTAAATGTAGCTCATTTCTCTATTTCATAACGGCCCAAAATACAGAGGTATCTGTAAACCTGTATTGCTCTTAATATTAGCCTGCTAGCCTTTATTTTGCAACACAGAAAAACTACTACTGAATAATTTTTTCCACAAACCCACTGTCAATACAGCCGTTAATAAAAGTGTGTGAATGTGTTTGTACACGCTACTCTTTTGCTGCGCCTGTGTGCTGTTGATATGAGTGGCAACAGAAGCAAACTTGGAAAAGGAGATTGTGGTAACATGAAAAAGATAGAACGGTCTCACGAATAAAAACACAGGTGAGAAACAGTTAACACAAACCAAACAGCGACACTTAGGGAGGAAAAAATAGATATGGAGATGGGTGAACCTCATGCAAGACAAACAAGATGTTGATAGGTGTTAAACAAAGATGATGACACACTGTTAAAAAAAAAAATAGTTGCAGCACAGCAGTTGCCATAAGTGCTTCTAAAAGTGTGAATGTGTATAATCAATAAAATATTAGTCCTGTAGCAAAATGCCGATTAGAAAACCAAAAGCAGACTCTGTTTTTCACTTTACATTCACACCTGACCACATCTGTAGGAAAACAAATCCATACAACAACACATATAAGTGAACCTGCTCCAAAGAGAACATTATCTAAAATCCAGCAAAGGGATTATAAGCGGAACTCATAATAATAAAAAAGAAAAAGGGTTCAGCGAGACACATTTTTACACAGACACACACAAAAAAGCCTTTGGCTAACAGCAAAAGCACACCTGCTATGGCACTCTGTAATCCTGGCTTCCACAGAGCTGTTGAGCTATGCAGCAGTGAGCCCCAACAGTGGTAATCAAAACTCAGTGATTGTACTGAGATAAGAGTTAGTGATAGTGAAAGAGTTAAAAAATCAAAACCACATGGTTTTGCTTCATTAGTGTTTCCTGTACTGCCTAGGAATTGCCTACTGTAGTCATCTTACCCTTAAGCAAGGCACTTAATATTTATTTC